AATTCTAAATTAATTCTTGATCAATACTAATTAAATAATATGATTCCATATTAATATATTAGAACTTATAATATATTAATATAAATCATAAATATACTATTCTCAAAAGACTATCCATATAAATTGTGCCGGTGATGTGCAACCCAAATGGACCATGCCGGGTCGGGTCAAGTACATACCAAATATAGTTATGGAGTTAGACATTAATCCAACACATCTAACCACCATCAAGTCCCCATCATTTTTGTACCAATTAGTGTATTTTTTTCCTTCAGATGTGTAGAGTCTTTATTTTTACTTTTATTTGAAGTAGAAATGTCAAATCTATAAGTATCTTGAAGATAAGTACATCCTCAGGATCTTAAACTTCAACTATAATTTGTGGAGTACAGAAAATGTTAGATGATTTGCCTAAATGAAATAGGTACGTATTAGGCTTAAATTTATAATTTTTCTTTTTATATATTTTTTCTGTTAAACTGTAAATGATTTATGAATATATGATTTTTTTTTTTATGGTAAAATGTGAATGATAAATGTATGAGTATTTTGTAATAATTCTTTGTGAATGTATACATTTGTTTGTGTTGTATAAATATTGTAAATGTTTTATTAATTATGTATTGGGAAAATTGCAATAAAGTCCTTATATATTGCCCTCATAATCGATTTAGTCCGTATATCTTTTTTTATTCAATTAAGTCTTAAAAACCGGTAATCGTATTCAATTTAACCCTTTTACCCGGTCAACAGGTTATCCAACTATCCAAAATTACATTTTTGGCCCAGATTTCAAAATTTATTACAAATTTGGTCCAAAATTTACACTTTTGGCCTAGATATTAAAATTTATTATAAATTTGGTCCTAAATTTACCCTTTTGGCCCAAATTTTAGAATTTTGTTATGAATTCATCATAACTTTATTTTTTTACAATTTTTTTCTCAAAAATTTGTTTCGAATATGTTTTTTCCTTTATAAAATCATTTATACAAAAAAAAACTTATTTTCACATAAAAAATCTTATATTTTCTAGAAAACTTAAAAAAAAAACATTTTTGTATACGGAATTGATGATGTGATTATCAACTTCAAATGTTATACATGAAAGCAACAAACTAATATATTAATTTTACATCACTAAACTGTGCCTTATTATAAGTTCACAAGTTTTTTTTGTGATACTAAAAAGACTGAGATGAAGGAGCCACAAAAGTTTTTGAAATGTCATGAGTACAACTCATTTTTTTACAAGAAGGTTGGTTAATCGCATTACTTTACTATCTTCTACATAAGTGTTTAAGTAAACTTATTCCATGAAGAAAATCATGCATTTGATGTTATATGGAAGTCTTTAAGTACAAATATTTATGAAGTGTGTATTGTATTGAGGGGTTAAAAGTGAACCAACTAAAAATACAAACATGAAGAAATTATATGGGGTTTGTACTCATTGTTTTACGCATAAAAAGAAGAACAAATTACTGAAATCATCCCTATGGTTTGGTCAAAATTGCGAGTTTGGTCCTTAACTTTTTTTTTTGCACTCGGACTGTCCTTACAATATGATTTCGTTGCGTGTTTAGTCACTGCCACATTTGAAAAGACTATATTACCCTTTGTTTTTTTTATTTTTCAATTTTTTGTTATTTATTATATTAAAAGAATTAATAAAACATGTGGGGCCCACCTGAACTCTTTTATCTCCTCAACGTTACCCTAGATCTCATCCTTCCCTTCGACTGAAACTCATCTTCATCTTCCTCATTCTTCTCCATAATCGGCGTTGTCGTCGGATCCCTAAATCTAACACGATCGCTGCCATCATCTAGGATAAATCAAACACAGGAAGCACCTCCCTTCATTCTACCTACATCGATCCACCACCATCGCCTTGGAGACTGTTTCCTTCCACCATCATAGGTGGAGTGCTTTGTCGGATAAATGAGACAATCAGACCTGTTAATGACTTAACAATAGTTTCCTTCCACCACCACCACCGTCTCCTTCTCTACAACCCCGACTACCATCATCTCCATCAAAAAGAGTGCTATTCACCTTTAACCCCGTTTCTTCTGAAAATCATCTTTGATTTTGGGATTCCATCAGATTTTTCTTTCATCTCCAATTTTAGGTTAGGTTTTGGGTTTTGATTTCCAGATTTGGTTTTCATTTCGGGATTTGATCTTGGCGGTTTTGATTTCCGGATTTTGATATTGGGGTGTCACCAGATGAAATCGATGATATGGGTGGTGGTTATGGAATAGGTGGATAGTGGAGGTGCCAGAATAGTGGGGGGGGGGGGTGGTGTTGCTGCTAACCGATGGTGGTTACCGGTGGAAGTGGCAATATAAGTGGGTCCCACCTGTCTATAAATCATTTTCTTTAATTAGTAAATAATAAACAATTAATAAAAAACTGAAAAATAAAAAGCAAAGGGTAATATAGTCTTTTCATATGTGGCATGGACTAAAAACGCAACAAAATCATATTATAAGGATGGTCCGAGTGCAAAAAAAAAGTTAGGGACCAAGCTCGCAATTTTGACCAAACCACAGGGATGATTTCAGTAATTTGTTCTAAAAAGAATCAACACAAATTTGATTAGCTAAAAATGAAAAAAATTCGTTTAGCTAAAACATCAACGTACTTGGTTTTAACCTAAAACATCAACATACTAATTGTCAAACTGAAACCAACCAAAGTCCGACCAATAGCAATATGTATTTGATTTGCGCTCCTTGAAATATAATACGTTTTCGAATAGAATTAATTCCAAAAATAAGTTATTTGTCGTCCGTCACATTGCATGGGTAGACGGCTAGTATGTGTGTGTCTGTGCGTGTGTGTGTGTATATATATATATATATATATATATATTATATATATATATATATATATAATATTGTAAAATACGTGTTTGTATATATTTTTTTATAAAAGGATTTGTATATATATATATATATATATATATATATATATATATATATCTATATATATATATATATATATACTTAATAAATACTTATTTTTTAAATAAATATTTCGTATACAAAAACGTTTTTAAAAAAAAGTTTTAATATAAAAAATATAAGATTTTTTATGTGAAATTTTTTTTTTGTATAAATATGATTGTATAAAAAAAACATATTCGTAACAAAATTTTAAGAAAAAAAAAGTTATAAAAACAACTAAATTTAGGATGAATTCATAACAAAATTCTAAAATTTGGGTCAAAAGGGTAAATTTTAGACCAAATTTGTAATAAAATATAAAATCTGGGACAAACGTGTAAACTTTGGACCAAATTTGTAATAAAATTTGAAATCTGGGCCAAAAATGTAAATTTTGGAAGTTGGTTGACCTGTTGACCGGGTAAAAGCGTTAAATTGAATACCATTACAAGGTTTTGAGACTTAATTGAATAAAAAAAAGATATAATGACTAAATCGATTATGATGTCAATATGTAAGGACTTTATTGCAGTTTTCCCTTATGTATTAAACTATCAATGGTTGTGTTAAGTGTGACTCTGTAGTAAATTGTGAATGTGTATATTAAACTATGAATATTGACATGAAATTTATGATTCTACCCTTCCATATGAAAAAAGAGAAAAAAAAACAGACCTTTGAAATCGATTTATATAGAACCGATCCAACCAAATTATAATTTGGTTGATGCGGATCAAATTTGAATTTAGTTTCAATTATTTGTATGCATATTTTAAAAAATCAAAATCAATTCATATTCGTTTAATCGATCGACCTGATGCATTGAAATAAATACCCTAGAATTTACTAATTTTGAACATTGCTACCGTCCTAACTCTTAAAACACCTCATCCCCTAAAGCAACACCTCTGAGATTCCGTTCTAGAATTTATAGAGTTAATTAGCTCGCTATTTAGGGTCCTACACTTTATAGGGCTGTTAAATGTGTTAAATGTTTGGACTTTCTCAAAATAAATTTTATAAAACCGATCCAACTGAATTGTAATTTGGTTGATTCATCTCGAATTTGAATTTTATTTTATTTATTTGGATCCATAATTCCATATTTTGAAAAAAACATAATCAAAATGGATTCGACTAATCAGATTAGATCGAATGAACACTCCAAAGTTTTTGTAATTTACTCATATTTTGAAGACTCATACGTCCCAACTCTTAAAACACCCTATCCCCTCAAACAACCCCTGCCTGCTGCCGTCCTACATTTTATAGAGTTGGTTAATTCGCTATTTAGGGTCCTAAACTTTATAAACTTGGTTTGCTGTCTTTAACGGTTCTAAAATATTTTTAACAGTTCTACCATGCATCCTGTATTTTCTAGAGTTAGTTTGCTATTTACCAAAAAATGGATTGCATGCTTTGAGCAGGTTACGTAATATATATAATTAATCAAAACTCTTTTGGTTCCACCATATGAGCTCTTTTTCATATGTGATAAATCATGACGACTTTGAAATTCACAACCATTATAGACGATCTTATCATTTATATCTTTACACCATTCAAGTATGTTCAAGATAAACATCTTTCTAAAATACACTTTGATACAAAATATACACCTGCAAAATGCCAAAATTACCATAATCTACTAGGCAAAAGGAGCCCAACGATTGAAAAGTGGAATCCTAAAAGTAAGCTCTCCAACTCAAAACCATGCATATATGCTACTTTTCTCTAAAACCATGCATACTGCTTTGCAGTTAATTTTACAAAGTAGGACACTCGACACCTCAACTTTCTTGTAGAACTCTCGGAGTACAAGATTGAAGCTTGTGGAATTCAAACCTCTCCATTTTGGAGACTTTAAAGCCATGACGATGGTTTCAGCACCTCCTTAACTAGAGTCAAACTATGCATGCCACCTTCCCCTATATATTAATGCAAAAAATCTCCACACTCCACCAATCCATAACTTCAAGCACCTATCTACACCAAAATACCACTAATAACCAAATGGCACAATATCAAAAAACAACATCAATCACAATGATCCTAGCAATCACAATGGCTGCCCTCTATGGAGTTGCAGTTGCTCAATCATCAGGGTGCAGCAATGAGCTAGAAGGCATGTCCCCATGTCTCAACTACATTTCTGGTGACGCGTCAACACCATCATCAGGATGTTGCAGCCAACTCGCGATTGTGGTCCAGACACAGCCACAGTGCCTGTGTCAAGTCCTTAATGGTGGTGGCTCGTCTTTTGGTATTAAAATCAACCAAACTAAGGCTCTTGATTTACCGAAAGCATGCAATGTCCAGACACCATCAACTAGTAAATGCAATGGTAATCGAAAGAAAAACATTTATTTAGCAGCTCGTCATTCAAATTATCTTTTAATTATATATAAAAAACGTATTTTTTTGTATCATGTCATTTTGGTACATATACTTTTTTTTCTTTCTTATTACTGACTTAATTGTATCAATGTTTCAAGTCGAGGTTAAAAGATCCAAAAAATCTATATTACTAGTGATGTGTAACATTTTATGATTCCACATATTAATTGGAAATGTCCAATTTATCTATCTTTGTTTTGTTTAAATCCACAGGAAACGCGTCATCAAGTACTGGTTCATCTGGTTCATCAGATGTATCTTCAACTAGAGTTGCAACCATTCCTACTGTATTTTTGCTACTTGTTGCCGAGTATGCTATGGTGTTCTAAGTTACAAGTTTTATATTAGGAAAAATTATGTTCGGATTTATGATATTTGCTTATTTCCCGTTGATTCTTACCTTTTTTCGCATATGAACTTTGAGTTTGTCGAGGGACATGCTATGTATGAAATTGCTTTATGGGGATTTTGTATTGTTTGAGATAAATATGACTTTTCTGATTCTGAGCTCTTTTATGGCTGATTTTGTATAGTTATGCACCGACATCGTAACTGGGAAGCTACTGGCCTCTCTGATTTTGTTGTATTGCAATTCAATAAATCAAAAGTAAATTACAAAAGAAATGGTGTATCTGGTCTTTTTTTAATAAGTCCAGTTTTTTCAATTGGAAGTCTAAGCATTCCTAAAACCTTTTTTTCATAGTTTTGTCCGAGATAAACACCATTAACAGTAAAATTCATATAAAATAACTTTGTTTATTTTTTTATTATTTATATTATTTTTTATTATATAAGGCTATTTGGTCACATATTTTTTTTTGGACATCGACAAATAAATTAAAGAACCTCATCAAGACAATGAGGGAAAAGAGTACAAAAGGAAAGAAGAAGAAAAAGCAAAGTACATGCAAATTACAAGCAAAAGAAATGATTAATGTTCCACACTCTCCGATCAATTTTCCCAAAAGAACATCTATGCTTGCACCAAGTGAAGGTAATTGCATTTATTCTATCCACTGTTCTCGCCGGAATCATTGGAACTTTATCAAAAATCCATTTGTTTCTTGCTGTCCATTTGCACCATAAAGTTCCACACAGAATTACATTCAGTAAGCTCCGTTTCTTTCTACATCTGGACCATCGACAAATAAAGAGAACCATACCTTTCACCGATGTAAAGCTATCGCATCTGATTTCATACCAACACAGATTTCGCTGCATGACATGAAAGTAAAGTGTGATCACTTGTTTCCTCCTCTGCATTACATATACTACATATGGTGACTGGAATGGTAATTCCCCTTTGACTTAGTGCCACACCAACTGAAATTCTTCCCTGTTTTGCACTCCATATGAAGCATAGGATCTTGTATGGGATCACCTTGCACCAATCAAAGGGACCATCATTTACAATATGACTCACCAACTCGATTCGGTCTCGTAACAAACTAACAATGAATTGACGCCAAACTGCAAATCAGAGACCCATTTGTTCTCCTCCGGATTCCAAGAAATAACTTCATTAGGGTCGATGTTAAGTTTTGCCAAGCTCTTGATAGATTTTATGATGTTTTTCCAAACCCCGGTGATAGTATAGTTACCAAACACAGTCCAATGCCTCCCCGATAGTCTGTGTAGGCAATTGATCACCTTTTCCCAGAGGGCAGAATTGTCATTTTTTAGTTTCCACAACCATTTAGTGACCAAGGAGAGATTAAGAGCTTTAATTGAGCCAAGCCCAATACCCCCCCCCCACCTTTTTTGAGGCAGTGATCTTTTCCCAATTCACCTAACAGATGCTTTTTTGTCGTATTCTCTACTCCATATAAATTTCCGTCTTATTTTTTCAAGAGTGTCAATGACTCCATTAGGAAATACAAAGATGGACATATAATACATCGGGAGGTTATCGAGCACCGCCTTTGCAAGCGTAATTCTACCACCAAAGCTCAATGTTTTAGCTTTCCGCAGTGAAAGTTTTGATTGGAATTTATCTATTATCGGCCTCCAAGCACTTTTTAGATTCATGTTTCCACCAATGGAGATTCCAAGATAGGTAAACAGTAACGTCGGTGGTTTACAACCAAGGCGGGAGGACCAGTTCGAGATTTCTGAGGGGGGAAGCTCCGATCCTAAACACCTTCGATTTTCTGAAATTCACTTTCAACCCGGATGATACATAAAAGCATCTCAAAATACGGGCCAGATTTGCAATGTTTCTTCTCGACCATTCTCCCATGAAAAGCGCGTCATCTGCATAAAATAAGTGAGACAAACAAATGTTAGAGTTTGGGAGTTTTATCCCGTCGAAAACACCAGTATCCACTGCCGTGTTCATTGCGAGGTTAAGACCTTCCATAGCAATGATGAAGAGGAAGGGAGAGAGAGGGTCTCCCTGCCGGACATCCTTTGACATCGCGAATCTAGTGGTTGGACTTACGTTGATGATTACCGATGCTCTCCCTGATTCCAGACAGTTTCGAATCCACTTTCTCCATTTCTCCCCAAATTTCATTTGATCCATGATTGAGTCGAGGAAAGCCCAATTAACTGAGTCAAATGCTTTATTGAAGTCTACTTCGAACAGAAGCATCTTCCTTCTTTTAATCTTTGTCCAAGAGCAAAGCTCATTGACAATTAACGACCCCTCCATAATATTCTACCTTCAACATAGGCTGATTGCACCTCATCAATAACGCTTCCAATAACTTTTTTTAACCTAGTTGCCAGCAATTTAGTAATTATTTTATATAATGATCCAATTAAGCTGATTGGTCGAAAGCCTCCAAAGTGTATCAGATCTTTTGATTTGGCCGCGAAGGAGATGAAAAATGAGTAGCAACCTTTAGATAATTTGCCACCAGCTTCAAAGTGCTTTACCAAACCCCGTATGTCATCTTTTAGTAAGTCCGAATATCTTTTGAAGAATTTAAAGGTGAATCCATCCGGTCCTGGGGACTTATCACCACCACATGTGTAACGCCCCGTTCCTGGTACACAATTATCTAAATTATTCAGGTAATTAGTTGAGCCAATCGACGAGTTGGTAGCCCTAACTCGTCGAGTAGATGGCAGAATGGACGCGAGATTTAAAGAGTCTACTCGACGAGTCCAAGCATGGACTCGACGAGTATGTCTGCCACGGGGAAAACCTTATTTTTGGGGTTTTTCACCCTATTTAAAAATCTTAAACCCCCTTTGGGCCTCGCTTATCAGCCTCCCTGTCCCCCAGAAAACCCTTGTTCGTTAGAGAGCCACTTCCTTGAGTTTTTGAGTGTATTTTGGTGCCTTTGAAGGTAGTTGCAAGAGCTTGGAGCTAACAAGCTTGGGGAAAGAGAGCAAGATCCAGGAACACACTCATCTTTGGCAGCTTTCTGAGGTAAAAAGCTCTTAGCTTGGTGAACTATAGCTTAGATCTCTTTGTATGTTGAGTTTTTTGGGTCTTTTGACCCTTTTTAGAATAATGAGTTAGCTTATATGGGTTGAATGCAAAGTAACCCTTTCTTCCTATAGTATTTAGCCTCTAGGGTCATAAAAGGAGGCTTGAATCCGTTTTCATACAAGCTATGGCCATATTTATGAAAGTAGGTTGCTATAACTCGAGTTTGGGTCCATTTGAGGTGTGCAAAGCCATCAAGTCTCCAACTTTATAGAAAAGGGCCTTGGAAACGACATAGATCTGTAATTTGGAGCTGTAGAAGTGTGAAACCAGTTATCTAGGTTAGATCTGCAAGGGACTCGACGAGTTCATAAGGGGAACTCGGCGATTCCGATGAAGAAACCTCGATGTTGTTAATAGGACTCGACGAGTTGATTAAGGAACTCGGCGAGTAGTATGATTTTGTCCCTTTTTTCTGATTATGCTAGGACTCGGCGAGTTTGAGGACGACTCGACGAGTCAGTTCGTTTAGTCACGACGATGGTTAGTTTGGGAACTCGACGAGTCATAGGGTGACTCGGCGAGTCGAGTCGCAAATTTTAGGGTTTCTGAGTTCTAGAACTCGACGAGTCAATAGGCTGACTCGGCGAGTTAGGTCATCCTGGAAGATTGACTTTGACCAGGATGTGGACTTTTACCAGGGGTAAAATGGTCATTTTACCCTAAGAAGGATTATCAGATTTTGATTAATTGTTGTTATGGATTTGATAGCCGGAGAGTCGCCGCAGATAGGGATTCGTCACTCGTGTTTCTAGCAGTCAGTCGTACGAGGTGAGTTTCCCTCTAGTAGGAACGGGTCTAAGGCACCAAGGCCGGCCCGTAGTTTGATATGTTAGTAGTTGAGTGTGGGCGAGGCCCGTATCTCATAGTAGCCGAGTGTGGGCAGGGCCCGTATCTCACAGTTTAGATTGTTCACGGATATATGCCTGACTGATAGATTTTGTTATACTTGTTGTCTGTGTGATACTTGTATGTTCGTTTAGTAGCTGAGTGTGGGCGGGGCCGGTATCTCGCAGCAGTTGAGTGTGGGCGGGGCCCGTATCTCATAGTAGTCGAGTGTGGGCGGGGCCCGTATCTCGAAGTAGCTGAGTGTGGGCGGGGCCCGTATCTCAGAGTCAGCGGAGTGTGGGTGGGGCCCATATCTCCTAGTTAGCTGAGTGTGGGCGGGGCCCGTATCTCTTGGTTGTATATTATACGTGTATGGTATGTAGTAGTTTGGGGGAGATCACTAAGCTTTTTGCTTACGGTTTCAGTTTTGGTTTCAGGTACTTCCACTAGCAAATGGAAGGGCTCGGGATGACCGCATGGCACACACCACAGTCTTCAGCCTGGGAGTTTACTCTGATGTTTGTTATGAGATTTTGATTTGAGACAGATGCTATGATGTTTTATGATACATGATTTATGATTTTACTTATGATTTTGGATGGTTTATGATTTAAATAATGATTTGAAAACGAATTTTTTTGGTCATATTTTTGGGATGTTTTAAGTTGGTATCAGAGCCTTGGTTTGAGGGATTCGGGCACACTCTCGGGTGTGTCTGGACTCAAACTAAGGACTTGGTATGAAAATTTTCAAACGAAAATCATTTTTATAAAAATAAATTTGAAATGAGAATAGAATTTTGAAAAAGAAAAGAACTTTGAAAAGAAAAAAGGATGTGGTGCATGCAATCAGCCGAGATCAAGTAAGTACTCCCAAATTACCCATACAAGTTTATGTTATGATTATCAGCTTCATTAGAACAACATGCTAGATTAGGACTAAGGATCTAGGAAGGATGCCTTATGTGCATGTTATATGTGTTTCAGCTTTATGAGAACTGCATGCTAGTACAGATTAGTCAATATGATAGCCAGAGTAGTATATGCTTGATTATGTGTACTC